CAGACTCAGTGGAGGGCGCTATTGAATGGAATTTCTAAATCAAAATACATTTAAATCTGTTTGTAATATTTTATATTTAACTTGAGCCATACATAACACTTTCGCACTACATCCCATGTAATTGATGTAAGCTTGTTCTGTTTGTTAGCTCAGTGATAGATGACCCCCTCCTTGTACTGTTAAAATTCAGCTGAACCCATGGATTTGACCAGCCCATCCCGGTCATAAAAACTGAACTGTCCCTTATACAAAATGTGTAGAAATATGTATGTTTCAACAAATTCGCTTTAAGAGACATTCAGAAAAAGACTCATGTAGTTCATATTACTAGATTAACTTTCCTATGGACCCCTGGACTAATATAATAGGCGAACGAGGCGCACCCAATTAGTCACACGCCCGGGGGGGGGTCACTGTATATTAAAACCTTACACCATATGCGTTCTTGCTAAAAAATAATACTAGTAGGCCCCTAGGACTGGCAGCACATTGGCAAACCATACCCCGTATTGCGGACGCAATGTAAATTTAGTACCCCTTAAAGCAGACATATTGAATAAAAAAACACCCCCTATTTCAGACACATATTGAGAACATCCTACCCCATATTGCGAGCATTTTATGCGGTTTTTTTCAATCAAGTGGATTGTGATCAACTCAAACAAGTTACTATGTATGCAACTCCTGTTAGTGTCATTCGTTGTTTGATGGAGAAAGGTGAGAACTATTGACATGATTGTGAATATGATCATTTATTATATAGTTTAATACACAATGCACACGACTTTGCCAGAATTCTTATTCCATCAGATATCATTGCGCAATTTTATATTCAGCTCCGAGTGACTTTGCCATGAATACAGGGCGGAGAACCCTGAAAAAAGCAAGAGCTGAATGCGAATGAGACCGAGGCGCGAAAGACGTTTTCAGAAATGTGGATGACTCCGGGGAATGACTTTCTGCATGCGGCTTATTGTAATCGACGAAACGAAACAAAACGGGATAACACACATAATAAAAATTAAAATGTAATCAGTGAAAATGTGTTTTATACGCACAATATTTACAAAATATTTGCCGAACATAATAATATTTAATACGTATATGGCTCGTTTCGCTAATCGCAGATAATCCAAAATCTGTAATCAGCCAATACACGTACAATATCAACAGCCGTCGGTTGAAACTTGACCAGTATTTTCACCTTTCAGTAGTGTATGTATAACAACATAAAACATATTCAAAAATCTGTAATCAGCGAAACAAGGGTCTGACACGTACAATATTCACAATTGTCTGTCAAAACTTGACCAGTATATTTACCTTTCAGCCGCCGTGTATATAACACCATAACACATTTGTCGAAAATAACGAGATTTTAATTAGTGAATGGTTCGTTTCGC